CGTCGGCGACTGCCTGCACATCTGCAGAGGTTCTAGTCTCACAGCATAATTCGGCCCTCCCAAAAGATTCTGTAATCTCGACTGGCTGACCCGCCCTTTCTCCAAGATATTGCGCCGTGGTTGTGGCAAACCTGCCCCGCGCACTCGAGAGGGGGGTCCAAGCGACTGACGGCGCCACGGCTGGATCGCACGCCGCTTCGCGCGCGCTTTCGGCCAATCTGCTCTGCACTGACCAACGGGGTGGCCTTGGAGCAGGTCCAAAGGGAAACGCGTCGGGCAGCGCGGGGGTGACAGAATGCACCAGTCTGCGCGACTGGTAGCCGTTATCGGAAATAGCTAGATGGGTAGGTTTATGGGGCTTAACCCTCCAGCGCATATCCACTTTTAGTTTCGTGGAACCTCGCATCATCGAATCGTTCAAGAGGTGAAAATCTATGATGCTGGAACCTGCCCCTCCTCTCATGGCAGGCACCGCAGGCGCCAGCGCGCACAGCTCAGCCGACGCAGGAAACTCCGACCCCCCCCCCCCCCCCCACCACCACCACCACCACCACCACCACCACCACATTTCAGGGCTCAGGTTCCTGCAACAGAAGCAGGTCCTTGCAACCGAAGCAGGTCCTTGCACCATCTGACTGCTCTTGCCTAACTCAGTTAAATTTGGCGCGTTTGCCCATGATGGGCTTGCGGATGGGCACAGGTAGATGTTGAAAACCGTGATCGCAGGCCAGCCAGGGAGATCGACTTCAACATTTCCGCAGCCTGCCTGAAACTACAACTTGTTTGGAAGACTCTGGCGGCCGTGATCCAAGACCAGCTTGAACGACAACTACAACTCCAGCAGAAGTGTTCACCCCATCAGGGGTAGTGGATGCGAGTGCTCTCATATTCCAACCTCGAGCTCCACACCACGCATCCAGCGGTTCTAAATATTATGGTAAATGTCCGGTCTCCTGCATGAGAATGACCTGCGCACTACTGCGCTCCAATCTTGTCTTCACAGTTCGCTTTCCTCCATTAGCATTGTATGTCTCGAACAAATGTGTTAAATCGCCGCCGAAAGCTGTTGTATCTGGAACTGTGCCATTATGCGAGAGTTGAATGCCTGAAACTCTGGGCTGATCAAACTCTGGTGGCCACTCCATTGACATCCTCGACGAAGGGGTATTTGTCTGCGACCATGATGCGCCGTTGCTCGTCCCGCCTCCCGACTCAGCCCCCGCGCATCCGCGCTGCACCCCGTGCGCTCCGCGTGGGCGGAGTGCGGGGGGTGATGGGGCTCTGGACGGCATCGGCCGTAACCGGCCCTCTTGATACATCATCAAAAACTGACGAGGAAACCGACTCTGTGTGACTATCTGAAATACGTCCAGTCTGCGGCCCCTGGGCCCCAGCCTGAATACCATCACGCCGTGGAGTGTTCAGTGGGCCGTGCCTTCCTCGGGGGGAGGACCTTAGGGTGCTGCTCGAGCTGCGCCCCCGCCCCCCCCTGGCCTCGCTGCCGCCCCTCATCCTCCCTTGGCTGGGGCCCAGGGCCCCCTCCGCTTGTCTGCTCGTCAAGGCCAACTCCTGTTAGGAACGCTTAGCTCTCTTGGATGTGAACTCAGCAAGCTTGGTTTTGAATGCATCCTGATCGTTGGCCAAAGCGAAAAGCTGCTCTTGTTCACCCTCGCTGAGCAAGATATCAAAATCTCTTTTGACGCCGCCGGGGGTCGCTCCCGGCTGTGCCTGTCCGCCGACGCTTGGATCCCCAGCAGGTGGATTCCCATCAGAATCAACATCCATCTTTTTGGGAAGTTTATGCACTTTCTTGGCCAACAACTCTTGTCGCTTTGCCCATTCTGCACTCTTGAGGAAACCAGCTAAACCTTCGGGTACTTTGTCGACCTCTGTGAACTCGAAAAGCTCCGAACAATCAGGCTGTTCCATCGGTGTATCCGTCTCTGGAGTGACAACCTTTGCCGTCTCCGTGAACTCGATCTGCAGTGGAGGAACTTCTTTTTTCTTTGCAATGATCTCATCCTTGCGCTTCTCGATGGATTCGTGCCACCCTTTGGACTGCCTCTCTTTCTCTGCCAGCTCCTTTTCCATATTTTGAAATGGAGCCTTTGCCCTGGTGAGAACTTGAGCGGCACGACGGCGTGCTGTGGTGGGAAAGCGCAGCTGCTTGTGCTGGCCGCGCAATTCTTTGATCCGCTTTTCGATGGGTTTCTTGAGATGTTGATCGCTGGTTCGAAGACGTTTGACCACATCATCGAGCTCGTTGATTTCCAGCATGATCCTGCCACGCTTGACATTAGCTGGCTCATTTCCTTTGTCGTTGTCTCCATCTGCTTGCTGCTCATCAAATTTGATACATGGCGGCTTTGCCCCAGTGCTTTGGGTCTGAGGTTGCTTATATGGCTTCTCGGGCTGAATGGTTTGCAGTACCTGCGCAAGCTGTGACTCGAGCCTCTGCAATCTGCTCGAATCCTCACTGCCTCCTTTGCCGTGTCCACCCTTGCCCCCATGTACCTTTCCTTTTGGAAGGAGCATTAGCTGTCCACTGCGCTGCATTCTTCTTCGCCTTCTTCTGGATCCTGGACGGAGCAGGGTTGCCGCACTGACACACCAACCGGCTCGCCCAATTGTGTGCTGTTCCGCATCTGCTGCACCCCCAGACTGGGTACTTCGGGCCTGGGAGCACGGGAGAAATTGCCGCCCCCTGCCTAGCAGGCGTCGGAACTATCTGTCCGCCTTCGGCGGTCGCGAAATGAATGCAATCTTCGTAAAGGCTGTGGGGGGTGAGCGCCCAACACAGTGTGTCGAGGTGTGGCCTCGAGTGGTACGCTGTTGGGGCCGCGACTCCCCTGCCAAACAGATCCTCGAGTCCCTAAGCCTCTCGCTACGGACTTGAGCCAAAATGGCTACGGAGAGAAGGAAGGAGAGGAGGGCGAGGAGGAGGAGGGAGGAGGGGGAGGAGGAGAAGGAGGAGGAGGAGGAGGAGGACGAGGAGGAGGAGGAGGAGAAGAAGAAGGAGGAGGAGGAGGGGAGCGAAGTACGCCTTTCCCTCCCCCTTTTTTCCCTACCTAGGCTCTGCCTAGAAGGGTTCTTACCCTGTTAGCTAAAGGGGCCGGGCAATGCTAATCGCCCCAGGCGGTTCCCCCAGTCCCCGCCCCGCGGTTCCCCCAGTCCCCTGGGAGTTTTAGCCTTAGCTTTAGCTTTAGCTTAGCTCTAGCTGTAGCTTTAGCTCTAGCTTTAGCTTTAGCTTTAGCTTTAGCTTAGCTTTAGCTTAGCTTTAGCTTAGCTTTAGCTTAACTTCAGCTTAGTGTTAGCTTAGATTTAGCTTAGCTTTAGCTTAGCTTTAGCTTAGCTTCAGCTTAGTGTTAGCTTAGCTTTAGCTTAGTGTTAACTTAGCTTTAGCTTAGATTTAGCTTAGCTGTAGCTCAGCTTTATCTTAGAGTTAGCTTAGCTTTAGCTTAGCTTTAGCTTAGATTTATCTTAGCTTTAGCTTAGCTTTAGCTTAGCTTTAGCTTAGCTTTAGCTCAGCTTCAGCTTAGCTTCAGCTTAGCTTTAGCTCAGCTTCAGCTTAGCTTCAGCTTAGCTTTAGCCTAGCGTTAGCTTAGCTTTAGCTTAGAGTTTGCTTAGCTTCAGTTTAGCTTTAGATGTAGCTTAGCTTTAGCTTAGCTTCAGCTTAGCTTTAGCTTAGATGTAGCTTGGTGTTAGCTTAGCCGTAGCTTAGATTTAGCTTAGCTTTAGCTTAGCTTTAGCTTAGCTTTAGCTTAGCTTTAGCTTAGCTTCAGCTTAGTGCTAGCTTAGCTTTAGCTTAGCTTTAGCTTAGCTTCAGTTTATCGAGCAGCTTAGTGTTAGCTTAGCTTTAGCTTAGTGTTAGCTTAGCTTTAGCCTAGCTTTAGCTTAGGTTTAACTTAGCTTTATCTTAGCTTTAGCTTAGCTTTAGCTTAGATTTAGCTCTAGCTTTAGCTTAGCTTTAGCTTAGCGTTAGCTTAAATTTAGCTTAGCTTTAGCTTAGCTTTCGCTTAGCTTAAGCTTCAGCTTAGCTTTAGCTTAGCTTCAGCTTAGCTTTAGCTTAGCCTTAGCTTAGCTTTAGCTTAGCTTTCGCTTAGCTTCAGCTTAGGTTTAGCTTTGTTTTAGCTTAGCTTAGCTTTAGCTTAGCTTTAGCTTAGCTTTAGCTTAGCTTTAGCTTAGCTTTAGCTTAGCTTCAGCTTAGCTTCAGCTTAGCTTGAACTTAGTGTTAGCTTAGCCTTAGCTTAGCCTTAGCTTAGCTTTAGCTTAGCTTCAGCTTAGCTTTAGCTTAGCTTTAGCTTAGCTTTAGCTTAGATTTAGCTTAGCTTTAGCTTAGCCTTACTGTTACTACTAATGCTGCTTTCCTGGGGGCTCCAACTCCTAGGTAGGGTCGCACTGGGATAATTCCCATCTTTTTCCCAGACCCTGCCACGAGAGCGAGACCTCCAGAGCAGGGCGAGAAGAAGAGGGCACCCAGGGGCGCGATGTGCGTCCTTGGGCAACTTGGATTCAGCGCCATCGCCCTCATCACCAATCAGCATCATCAGCATCACCGACACCACCATACCAACATCATCATCATCCTCCTTCTCATCATCATCATCACCGTCATCAACAGCGACATCATCATTACCACCGTCGCTATCACCACCATCGTCATTATCACCACCATCACCATCATCATCCTCATCACCATAACCACCAACACCACCATCAACATCATCAGTACCATCATCATCAACATCATCAGTACCATCATCATCAGCATCATCATAATAATATCCAGCATCATCATCATCACCAGCATCAGCATCATCACCACCATCATCATCAGCATCACCATCATCATCATCATCATCATCATCATCGTCATCATCATCATCATCATCATCATCATCATCATCATCATCATCATCATCATCATCGTCGTCACCAAACCACCTCCATCACCATTACCAACGTCGTCTTCGTCACTGTTGTCTCTGTACTCCCCCGAGGCAGCGGAAACCGTCAGCGGGATTGCCCAAGACCTGGGGGGCCCGCAGCTCATTGCCAAAGCCAACCACTTGAAGGAGGTCGTCGAGGACTCGGATTTGAGCCGCACGGGGACATTGCAGCTCGGTGGTGAGCCCGTCGGGCATACGCACCCGATGCCATCCCACATTTGTCCCTCCTCCTCCTCCTCCTCCTCCTCCTCCTCCTCCTCCTCCTCCTCCTGCCCCTCCTCTCTCCTTCTTCTCCTTATCCTCCTTCGCCTCCTTCGTTTTCCCCTCCCCCTCTCGCAGCCGAGCCGCAGCGTGATGTCCCAGCGGCGCTCGCCGCGCGGCGCCGCCCCCCGGCGGCGGCAGGCCGTCCGGTGGGAGGCGCTCCAGACGGCACCCGTCGTCGTCGGTCCTTCTCGCCTTGCTCCTCGTCCGTATCCATCTTGGCTCCAGTCACCCCCGCGGCCTCCTGCGCTCACGTCCTCATGGCCTCCTCCTGGGTCCGCGCCCCCTGGTCTTGGTGCCCGAGGGCCTGCGTGCCCTGCGGGCGCTGCCCGCGGGTGGGGCGCGTGCTCTCTTTGCCCTTGGTTTTGCCACTCTGTGGCGTCTCTCGTCCTTGCCTTCAGCGCGTTTCGGATGTGCGGCAGGCGCCAGCGTGTCATCGCGTTCCTGTGTTTCGAATCGGGATGCGTGTGCAGCGCTTCTGCGACCACGGGGCAGTCATCGGGGATGTGCGAGTGCTGATGCGATGTCTGATTCCTTGGGTGCTAGGCTCATTGATCTGCGTCGGGTTTCTTCTTCAACATGCTCTTCGAGCGGGCGGCGGCGCATTGACCTCTGGCTTCGGATATCGTGGTAGCTATGCTGGCGATATGTGCTAAAGGGAATGCTGCGAGACATCGAAAGTGGGCAGGCCGTAAAAATGTCCCGTGCATGCGGATCAACGCTTGGTGTTTCTATCCCCCTTCGGCTGCAGCTTTTTTTCCCGCGTCCAACCCTTCATGGGGGGAAGGCTGCTACCGAGTCCCGTTGGCAGAAAACACACTGTTGGAAAACACACAAAAACACACAAAACACACACTGTGCTGAAAACCATACACAAAACACACACACACACACACTGTGTGTGTTTTTCCCACTGTGTTTTTTCCCCAGTGTGTGTGTGTGTGTGAGTGTGTGAGTGTGTGCGTGCGTGCGTGCGTGCGTGCGTGCGTGCGTGTGTGTGTGTGTTTTTGTGTGTGTTTGTGTGTGTGTGTGTGTGTGTGTGTGTGTGTGTGTGTGTGTGTGTGTGTGTGTGTGTGTGTGTGTGTGTGTGTGTGTGTGTGTGTGTGTGTGTGTGTGTGTGTGTGTGTGTGTGTGTGTGTGTGTGTTTTCGTCGGGAATCTGAGGCCCGGCCAACAGCTGCCGGCGGCACCATCCGGCCAAACGGGCGCCAGAGCGCCCGTGCGGCGCGCACGGGCTCGCAGCAGAGCTGCGCGAGAGACAAGCTGCGTGCGCCGAGCGTGATGGTGAGGGCGAGTGAGACGAGGAGGAGAAGAGGGAGAAGAGGGAGGAGGAGGAGGGAGGAGGGAGGAGGAGGAGGAGGAGGAGGAGGAGGCGGAGCTCTTCAGCCGTTCTCGGGCCGGGCCCGCTCATGGCCCGCAGCGCAGCAGTCGCGGCAGCGCCGCGTCCCCGCACCCGACTGCAGGGCCGCTGGCCCCAGCGCGGCAGCGATTCGCCTCTCGAGGGAGACTGGCGCTTGCGCCGCCGAGCTTCACGCCGCTCCCCCGCGGCGAATGGCACGGTAGCGCACGACTCCAGAGTGCGGGACCAAGCCGCAGCGCCGATCCCATCATGGTAGATACCGCGGGAGTGCCCGTCCAGCAAGGGATGCCACACTCCAGGATGCTGCTCAGCGTCGTGCTGCAGGTACCCACAGCGCTGGTCGGCGCCGGAGTGCTCTGCACCCCACTCGATCAGATGGTGGATGTCGGCGGATGCTCTGGCAAATCAGAAGCCCTGCGCCAGAATGGTTCTGCCCTGCGGTCCGCTACATGGCCAGACTGGTCAGCAACCGACATAATTTGAGACCGCGTATGAAGTGGTCGTGATTCTCGATGACACGGTAGTCTCGCTGGCGTCGTTGGATGCACTCGTGCTGTTGCTAGCGGTCTTGCTGGTTGAGTTGGCGCTACGGCGCATGGTGCTGCTGACCTCGGCAATCGTGGTTACCCTGGTGGTGCTGTTCCCACTGGTATTGCTGACCGCGGAACGGCTGGCCCAGCCGACTTACTCGCAGTGGAGTTATTCGGTGATTTCTGTCGCGAAACACAGCCCCTATCATGTGATATCACGCCTCAGCCTGCACTGTGACAGGACTAGCACGGCCACCACAGACTGCCCACACATACGACAGCGCCGAGCAAGCTTGATGCCCGCGGTTCCTCTCGAAGCATGCGCAGGCGTGATGACGCAGCCCGTGCTGTTCTCGGTGGAGCTGCTGGAGTCCGTGCTGCTGACAGTCCGTCGTGTGGCTCACGTACTGCTGGGCTCCGTCGTGCTGCTCACCAAGGAGATGCCGAGGTTGGTCGTGCTGCGCGCGAAGGAGCTGCTGGAGGCCCTCGTGCTGTCCCCAGTGGTGCCGCTGCAGTCTGTCCTGCTGCTCTCGCTGGTGATGCTGGGGTCCATGCTGCTCACGGCAGTACTGCTGGAGTCCCCACTGCTCACGGCGGTGCTGCTGGAGTCCGTTCTGTCGACGACGGTACTGCTGAAGTCCGTCGTATTGCACATTCTGCTGGAGTCTGTCGTGAGGCTCACGATGGCGCTGCTGGACTCCGTCTCGCTGCCTCCATTTGTGATGCCGAGGTCTGCCGTGCTGCTTACGAGGAGCGGCTGGAGACCCGTGTGCTGCCCTTAGTGGGGCTGCTGGAGTCCGCCCTGCTGCTCTCAATGCTGCCGCTGGGGTGCGCCATGTTGCTCACGTTGGTGCTGCTGGAGTCCGTCGTGTTGCTTACGATGGTGATGCTGGGCTTCTTCGAGCTGCTCACCGAGGTCATGCCTAGGTCCGTCGTGCTGCTCGCGATGGCGCCGATGAAGGTCCTCGAGCTGTGCGGCTGCAGACAATTAGTTAGTTCTTCGCATCGTTGGGGTTTTCTCCAGGCTTTCCAGAGGCCGCAGGTAATATTAACGTTATGCTGGATGCTCTCGATCATAAAGGTGGCATGGGCAATGGGCACTTCGACCGTGTCTACCGTGATATTGCTGCCAATATCGGAGTGGACCTTTTCTTGCCTAATCGTGATTCCCATCTGCTTGCTTTCTGGTTCAATCCGCACGCCATTAAGATCAAGCCGGTTGCCAACGCCTGTTTGCACAACGAGGTTGGCGTCGGATGCGAGGATCATGAGGATTTCATCGATCAGATCCTCTTCGAAGACGGCGCCGTTACCCTCGGGGATGACGACGACGCGGAGGAGCAGGAGGTCACCGTTGACCAGGTCCGTCACGAGGACGGCGAGAAGCCTTGCGAGGCGGGCGACGGCGGGGACGAGCAAGAGGACTTCATTGACAAAGTTCTCTACGAGGATTGCGATGAAGACTATGATGATGACGGCGAGTTGGAGGAAGAAGAGACTTGCATCGACCAGGTCACGTACGAGCATAGACACTCGTGCAGGGCAGATAGAGGTCCCGGGGTCCTGAGGCAACGTTATCTGGCCGATCAGGACCTTCGACAATCCATTCGTGATGCTGTTGTTGGTGACCAGCTGACTTCTGGGAGTCTGATTTTCCCTCCTGACCTCGCGGAGGCGCTTTTCTTCGACGACAGGATCCTGGTGTGAATGTGCCTGTTTCAGTTGGTGTTGTAGCCCTTGTGGGTGTGAGGCGGGAACATGGATGCCCCGAGGTCTTGGGGTATGGTGTTGCCGACGATGGATTCCGAAAACCATGGTCTTGAGGCGAGGTCTTGATGCGAGGTCTTGAGGCATGGTGCTGCCGACGATCTGATCTAGCGCCGACTCTCGGACGAGGTCGTGGCCCCTTGGCGGCCGAACAGGGAAGCCGGAGACCCCGAGGTCCTGAGGCACGAGGCCGCCGAGGATGGACTTCCAAAACCGGCTCGTTCCTGATGGTCACAATACAGTCAAGACGCTGATATCAGGAACAGTTTGGGTTCGGAAGGGGCTCCATGTTCCTTAGGTTCCTCCAGTGTTGTTCCTCTTGCCCTACTGGGGCACGGAGGCGCTTACAGGGCCAAGAAGGGGCTTCGTTCCTTCTTTAGCGTTCCTTCTTTCAGCGGCCCGACTGTATTCGTGGACGCACCGGCGGAGATAGTGGCGACACTGTGGCGCAATGGCGTGGTTCTCGGATATGTTCTGACACTGCGCTGGTTGGTGAGTGCATCTCCGATGTGGGTTTGGTTGCTGTTCTTTTCGGTGACGTTGTCGAATCGATCCCTGCATGCATCCTTGCCGGCGATGGTAGTTCTGTGGTCCAGTGGCCAGAGGGTCGATGGGCTTGTTTTCCACCACCACCATAAGTTGGAGGGGGGAAGGAGGAGGACGAGCAGGAGGAGGACGGAGAGGCGGAGGAGGAGGAGGAGGAGGAGGAGGAGGAGCACCCCCTCCCCCTCCAACTTACGGTGGTGGTGATGGAAAACAGGCCCATCAACTGTGGCTCCTTGTGATTGGGCATGGCAGGTGGTGGCCACTCCGACACGGATCCTGTCGCTCGGTGGGAGGCTCTGGCCCCCTCTCGGGTGCGAGGAGCCTCGTTTGCTCGTCCTCCTCCTTCCCCCCTCCAACTTATGGTGGTGGTGGTGGTGAAAAACAGGCCTATCAGTTCCCGAGCCCGCTCGCACGGGACAACGATTCGGAGACCGACCCCGAACCACCGACGTAATGTATTTTTTTTTTGGCGTCGACCCCCAGAGGTCTCGACGCTCCCCCCGGGACCTGTTGTTCATCCCGAGTGGTTCTTTGATGGTCCCGAGGCCGGGCAGGGCTCCAGGACCCGAGGGGGTCTGGGATTCCCGAGGGCGGCACTGTTGAACAGGTGCGTTCGGGGATACTCCTGCAAGATCGAGGCAACCAATCGCCTCGCAGCCTCTTGCAGGTTGGCTCGCTGGTTTGGCCCCTTTGGGCAGCGACTGCAGGGAGGTCGCCCCTGACGGCCGAGTTCGCTCAGGGGATGCTCGCGGTGGATCCTTCGAGGCTCGAGGCGGGGCCTGGCCCGAATGGGGGCGGCGCGGCAGTGCGGGGGCCCGCGCCAGAGAGGGGAGGAGAACAGCAGGACAAGAATTCGTCGCCCTGCTCCTCGTCCTGCTCCTCCGCCCCCTCCTTCGCGTTTCCCCTATCGCCCTATTTTTCGGTATGCTCGTCTCCCTTCCTGCTCCTGTTTGCTGCTGCTGCTGGTGCTGCTGTTGCTCCTCCTGCTCCTGCTCCTCCTCCTCCTCCTCCTCCTCCTCCTTCTCCTCCTCCTCCTCCTCCTCCTCCTCCTCCTCCTCCTCCTCCTCCTCCTCCTCCTCCTCCCCCTCTTCTCTTCCTCCCCCTCCTTCCGTAACCAGTTTGGCTCACGGTGTTGGGCTTCCCCAGAAAACGCGTGGATACCGTTGTTCCGCATCTTGCCGCAGTTTTCGCCAGGTCCGCCCCAGGCACAGCTAATGCTGGTGCGCCCCAGCAGTGGCATCGTGCGCGCACTCCCACAGGAGCAACGCTCACGACGGCGCCGCCTTGGCACCACCGCCGCTACCGCCAGATGTGGCACTTCTTCGACGGCTCGAGAAACCACGCTGGAGTTGTGGATGATTCCCGAGGCTGGAAGACTGGGCGAACCTCGCTTACCAGCGTGGGAAAGCTACTTCAGTTCGGATTGCTGCGGTGGCGAAGCACATCCATGCTACTCCCCCCCATCCCCCAATAGCAAGGGAGGCGAAGGCGGATACGCTAAGGCAGGAGGTATGGGCGCATGGAAGGTGCCAGAGGAGCTCTCTGATTGGACGGTGGCGATTGAGAAGCGTCTGTCGCCGCCCCCTCCCTCATGACCGCGATATGATCCTTGCCCGCCGTGGAAGGAGGTGTCCAACGACAAGGCTACGGACAAATCTGAGACTGCCAAGCTTGGGGATCGCGGCACGGAGCCTGAGGAAGCCTTCCAGAAGCTGTCAGAGTTTGATAGTACCAAGAAGCTGCGCGAACCCATCCTGAAGCAGGTGGCTGCGGCACCAGCCGAGAGGCGCGCGTCTCTGCCGCGCGCAGCAAGAGTTTCGGCGCGCCAAAGCAGGTCTCGAGCGGCACAGGAAAGAGTTGCAGGAGAAGGAGAGCCAGCCTGAAGAGCAGGGCAAAGGCATCGAGGTCCGCTAGCAAGGCATCGAGGCCGAAAGGCTGGATGAGGAGGCGTTGGAGACGGCCTTCGCGAAGACGGCTGCTGAGGCGTCGGCGACGCCCGCGCTGCCCTCAGTCGCCCTCGACCTTCAGACCAAGGAGGAGGGGCTCGCCAGTGAGCCCGAGGACGTCGCATTCCTCAAGTTGGAGGGGCGGGGTACGCTCAAAAAGGCACTGTCCTGCAAGGTGGCTGTCACCGCTGCTATCAGCAAGCTTGTGGGTGTTGATGATGATGGACCCGATGATTCACCGGCGCCTGCAGCTGAGGAATTCCGCTTCTCTGGCGAGCAGAGCAAAGCCCTCATGAGGCACGTGGTGGGGAAGGGAACTCCAAGCATTCTCGGCCGCCTTCGACGCCATCCGCCATGACATTGCTGCTGCTACCAAGAAGCCTCGGCGCGGGCAAGCAGTTTAGCATCGACGCCTTCGGGGGCGTCTACGACAGTTAGAGTGCAGGCCTGCGGTCCTCCTCGAGCCTCGGGCCATAGGCGGTGCCTGGAGCGGCCAACGATGTCAGAGCGCATACCTGGGGCGCGCCTCGGGCCTCAGGTCCCGCGCGTCGCCGGCTTGGATCTTAGTCAGAGCGCGGCCCTGCCCGCGTAGTCGGAGATCGGACATAAGGTGCCCCCTGGGCCACATGTTTTTCGCGTCGCCGCGTGCGACCCCAGTCAGAGTGCGGATCTGCCGCGCAGTCAGAACGCGGACTCGAGGGGCATGCTGCACGCATCCCCTGGGGGAGACGCAGCGTTGCCCTCCGTCTGTGGACATCCAGTTCGTGGGCGATCACCGCCAGGAGGAGTGCGACGCCAGGCGCTGTTGGAGTTCAGCGTTGAACTGTTGACCGCCAGCGGTGGCAAGTCGACCGCCAAGAAGAGGCTCGCCACCGCAACGGCGGCCATGGTCATCCTCCAGGAGATGGGCTACATCGCCAGTTACCAGGAGGCGCATGATTCCTGGGCAGCAGGGTGTGGCTGGCGGCTCATGGCGTTGCCCAGCGTGCTCGTTTTGGTTCCAGCCTCATCAGGCGGCGCTGCGGTCGTCGCCAGAGACGGCGCGGATTTCCCAGCGTGGGCGCCCATAAGTGGCGCCGCGTCGAGTGCAGCACCCTGCCGCTGATGGCGACCCAAGCTGACGCGCCCGTCTTCATCGGGGGAGGTTGGAACATTCCATGTGGTGAGCTTAAGGCGTCGCGCTTCAACGCCGTAAGCGCCGTGCCCACTGCGCCGCCATCAACCCTCTCGCCCCGCGGTGGCACTGGAATATCAGCTCCGTTTTTCGCGAGTTCAACGCGATTGCGACGCGCGCTGGCCCGCAAGCGGCGACGGCCGGGGCGCAGGCCAGCAAAAACGCGCGCGAAAGAGACGCCGCCAGCACGGGGAGGCTGGACCACGCGGTCGCCCCCAGGATGCGCTGTGCATGGTCGCGGTCGGCCCTCGGCCCCCCTCCCCGACGTGGGCCTCTTCCCGGCGCGCGGCGCAGGTATAGCTGGGACGGCGTGCTCTGACCTTGGCCCGCCTCCAGGAGTAGCGCGGAGACCCGCGTCTGTAGCTCTGGGCACCCTGGCCGCGCAGACGACAGAGTATGGCGCGCGACGTGCTGGCCCTTACGGTTGCTCTTAACGCGGCGGCTTCCGCTCGATCGCTGCGGCCCAAGCGGGTTTGCATTTGCGCGCGTTCAAGGCTCATCCTGATCTGCGAGCAGCTGCGGAAGGAGGGCAGCGAGTGCAACGCGCGAAGAGCAATCTCATGCTGTTCCATTGTGCAGACGTGGTTCCGGCGGTAGTCGCGCTGACCGAAGTCTTGGCCGTCGGCTCGCCCGGGTCGCCGATGAGGCCCTGGCGCTGAACGCTGCCGCGCGTCGCGAGCGGGGCTCGGCGGCGAGGCTGGATCGACCGGCGGAGCAGGCTCGTCGCATATGTCAGAGGCTCCTCGCTGAGCAAGATGCCATTACATTCCTTGACGACGCCAGAGCAGATGTCCAACTGGCTGCGAGTGGCGCCCCCCTAGGAGGATGACAGCAAGTGGGGGGATTTGTGCGCAATGGCTCCACCGGGTCGTTCGAGTGTTTTTCATCGAACTGCGGAGGCGCGGGCGTCGAGCAGCCGGCGATTGCTGACGCTGGCGCTGGAGCACTACCGGCGCATCCCCGATATCTTGCTCGTCGCGAGGTGCGTTGTATCAGAAGCTGTGGAAGGGCGCGGGGCCCGCGGCGGCCTGGGCCCCTCCTGATCGAGGCAGCCAGGGCAGGGCAGCTTCGAAGACCGCCTCGGCAAGCGCGACGGCAGCGCCTGATGAGCGCCACCCCCGCCACCGATTGTTGCTGGGGGGTGAGGCTTCGGAGGCGCTGCCTGACATCCCAAGTGTTTTTCTTTGCCGCATAGATGCTGCCGAGCCAGCTCGCGCGGCTGGCCGCGCCAGTGGTGCCGATGATGCCGGGTTCGGGGCGTCGGCTGATGGTGCTCCGCGTGGGCAGCGCGCCCGGCAGCGGCCGAGGCGGCCTTTGCCGCCGGACATCCATGACTTCGTTGATAGGCCTTGCTGGGGCGCGGCTCGCGGCAGAGCGCCGGTCGACAGCGCGCGGTCGCAGGCTGCCGATGCCGAGGCTGGCCAAGGGCAAGCGCGCCGTGGCGCAGCGGCCGCGGCCGGCTTCAGCAAGGAGCGCGATGGCATTTCCCGCCAGGAGGTGCCGATTTATATTCCTGGTGTTCGGTACACCCGCGAGGTTCGTGAATGTTGTGCGCGAAGGGTGGCGCGCTCCTCGGCTGTTTCGTCCTAGTAGGCACTTCAGTGATCATGGCGTGCGAGCTGCATCTGGAGCATGTTGCGATCGCGGCATTATCCGTGGCACTGGCGTCAAAGTCCGGTTTGCTGGCGCTTGCGGCGAGTTGCCGGATGACGGCTGTGCGCCCGTTGCATCAGCCACAACGGCGATGACGCCAACCGTACCTCGTCCGACTCAAAGGCCACCGCCGACAAGATGACCGTTGATGCCATGGCGGAGTTCAAGGTAGAGGTCCACAAACTCGGGGCTAATATGCGCGCCAAGCCTATTGCGCTTGGAACTACCTCTGACACTGCCAAACATACCGTTGCGAAGTTGGGTTTGCCCGAGGAGGCCGCGCGACGCAGCGCTGCGCGCTAAGGCGTCGGCGCCAGAGAAGGCAGCCAGAGGAGTCCAAATGAGCACTTCAGGAACGGTCGATCAGGCGCCAGCAACTTGTCAGGCGTTCGGCGCATGCCGCGCACGAAAGTTCAGCCCATCGGCGTGGCCACCCGCGCTGGTGACGCGCCCGCGGCGACGTGCGGCGGCGAGGTGGCCGGAGCGGAGTGGACACTTCAAAGTGGTTGTTTCTTATGAGGGTTGCGCATTGAGGATGGCTTCCCGCGCATGGTTGCGTCAGGTGTTCGTCGAAGACTGTTTCATGAGGCGGTGGGGCCACTGCCGCTGCGGTCGCCCCCGCTGCGCGCAGGAGCTGCGAGCTGAAGTTTGCGAGAACCCAATTGCCATGCGAGCTCAGCTGCTCGGGCCGCGGCGAGGGGCGGGGCCCCAGGTGGTCTGGGAGCGAAGGGCCCTTGTCGCACGCGCGTCATCCCGCGGAGCGTGCCGGGCGGCGCGTAGCCTCGGCAATCCCATGGCTGGGCCGCCGCGTTGCTCATAAGTGTTGAGGTAGACCGAACGCCGCCCATCATGCTTAGCGCAATGCTATATGCTGGGGTCCCAACGACGGCACGAGATCAAACTAGCTTCGCAGCTGGGAGCTCCGCGGGGATATCGTGACTCCCTTGACTTTGCTCGATCGATTTCCGGCGAGCGCTCGAAGCGGCTGGGGAGTTCGGGGGGGGCCATCGCCAGGAGCTGCTCGCGCCGCGGGATCTGGGCCAGGTCAGCATGATACTGTTGACCATCGTTTTTGGTTGCCACTGCATGTTCCCAGGGACCATCCCCGCTCGAGCCGAATCTGGGGTCGTTGCTGAGTTCGTCGAGGCAGGCATTGAATCGGGCGTCCCCGGTTTTACCCATGGGGCTTTCTCGTATTAGGAGGGCGCCATCCCTCCCCTATCCTGCGTCGCGCTTGAGCGCCCTGCGGGGGGGGAAGGGGGCTTGGAGGTTGGGGTGGATGAGATTCCTGGCTTCGTTGGTGGCCCTCGTTTGAATGTGGCCCCGAGCCAGTCATGCGCGCGCAAAGGGCTTGCACAGCTGGAGATGTCGTCCTGGGCCATCGTCCTTCTGCGCCTCTCTCTGATTCTTATCGCGGTGGGAAGCAGTGGCGGGGTGTCTTTCGCAAGCGCTCAGCCTTGCTGAGTCGGATTAGCCAATTCGCTGACCGCGAGACCGCGGCCTGATTCGGCTGCGCGCCGTCGGTCCTGTGTTTCTGGCAGCCTTGTTGGCGCACTTGCGAGCCTCCAACCACGCTGCAGGCATCCTTAAGGTCGGCAGGAGTTATGATGGTCACCATTTGTCTCAGGGCGTCATGTCAATGCCCGCATTTTGAGGACGGAATGGCCCGTTTCGGTCCAGGGGAGGAGCGCTGGGCCAGAGCCAGTGCCGCTGCTGACCGCCATGCTAGTTTCGCGGCCACACTGCACCCGTCACCTGGCCCGAGCTTTGTCATTCGTTTTTTTGGGGGGGGGCAAGCGCGAGCTGGCGCGTGAACGAGCTCAATGTTTCATGAAGCTTGCCGCCGCGGCGATGTCATGCTTTCACGAGTCCGAGCAGATGCCGTGGCACAGACCTGCTCCCTCTCGCAGCCTTCGGGAGTTGAGGCGGGGTAGTCGGCGCGACTGGGGTAAGGGGGAGCCTGGGCGGCAATGCAGCCGATGTCTTACGGCGGCCGTGTCCCAAGGTAGCTTGCCCTTGAACGGCTGTTTTGGGATCCCCGCTTTTTCTGGAGCCTCTGGCGGAGAGGAGCCACGGACATCAGCTTGTCGCCTTTTCTGGTGCGAGGCTTGCGCCAGCATCTGGAGACCCATTTGGTCTAGATGATTATACTCTGGTTTCCCTGTTGCGCGTGAAGTTTAGGGGGTGGGGCCAAGAGAAAACCATTCAGTTGGCAAAGGGCTGCGCCCCCCCCCAGCCCACCGCACCACCAGAACTGGGTCCAACGTCATCTCGAGATTCAGGCGCGGTCTTGCCCCGAATCCCCGAATTCGTGCTGCCATTTATCGGGCGGTTCCTGCCCAGCGAGTCGGTCTCGAAGCCGCGTCGGCTCGGCAGGTCAGCGAGTCCACGAGCGTTGGCTGCTTTTCAAAACTCAGTGTGCTTTCCTAAGTGCAGAGGTTAGCCCGACTGCATGAGCGAATCCGTGTGAAGGAGGAGGCTGCTCGTGCCAGGGGCTTTGGTTTTTGATTTCTTTGTGAGGGCGCACCTGTCGTCGTCTCCGAGAAATGTCGCCCCTCCCCGCGGTTGCGCAACGTCTCCGGCCGAGGTTTTGATCCGCGGGCGTGGTGCCCTCCGACCTCGGGCATGCCCCCGGGTGCCACACTACCATATCTCTCCTCCTCCGCCTTGCCCCCCCTCCGCCGGGACACTGCACCAGGGGATCCCCACGTCGCGCTTCTGCCTTTGCTTCGTTGCAAGCCTGCTGCCTCAGAAGCCCGCTTCGGGCCGCGGGACCGGCGTGAGCGGCCCGCCACGGAACACCGACCCTTGAGATCGGTCCGGAAGTCACGGGGCACCACGTCGTGGAACAACAGAAATAGCCGCGGAGATTCGGGGGGATGAGAAGCGAGGACATTGATGTGGGCAGAAAGGGGAGAAGGGGAGAACGATGGATACCTCAACAGCCAGGACGGGGAACGCACTGCCCAGAACGGGAACGATTTTGTCCCCATGTTTCCAGCCACGTGTAACGTCAATCGATCGGGGTGGGTCTTCGAGCTTCGAGGTGATGTTCCACAGCCTGAAGTGCTAAAAGCCTGGCTGTTGCATCGGGGTTCTGGATTGCTGGCGCCAGGCCGTCGATCTTCCTGTGCCCGCTCTCCAGGGCGGCATCTCCGATCTGCGCACGCACGTCGAGAAGGTCGCGAAGGACGAGGGCATGCTGTTGATGTCGAAGGCGGCGCCGGGAGGCAAGGCCCTTGATGCTGTCGGGGCTCCAGGCGAGGGGTGGTCAATGCTCATGGGGGTCAGCCAGAGCGCCGGAGTTTGCAAGATCGCTGCAGGGCCAGGGGTGCACTGGCCCAGGCTTGGGCGCAGGATCCTGGAGGATCCTGCCGGACCCTGCAGAGCCCGACGGTCGGGCCGGACGAAAGGGCCCCGGGTGTGGATCGACGGGGGCCCGCAGGTCACCGATGCTGGAGGCAGCGAGCAGCAGGCGCCCCGAGGAGGCGGCAGTAGGCAAGGGGGAGCTGTCGGCAGCGCAGCGGCCCACGAGGGCCTACAGCCCTTGATGGGCCGATGTTCCACCACCAGTGCCGCAGATAGGAGAGGGAGGAGGAGGAGGAGCTGGAGGAGGAGGGGGAGGAAGAGGAGGAGGAAGAGGAGGAGGAGGAGAAGGAGGAGGAGGAGGAGGGGGAGGAGGAGGAGGAGGAGGAGGAGGAGGAGGCGGAGGAGGCGGAGGAGGAGGAGGAGGAGGAGGAGGACCGGACCTCCCCATCCTCCCCTCTCCCCCGTCCGACCTGTGGTAGTGGTGGTGGGAGATTGGCCCATCAGCCCTCGTGCTGGAGCGAGGGCCACTTTGGGGCTCGGGAGGGGCTCTTGTCTTCGGTCTGCTCCTCAGGCTCTTCGGTCGGGGAGCCTCTGGGGTGACCGAGGCTTACCTTGGCCAGAGAAGACCCTCCGTGCCACACGCAGCACACCTCTGCAGTACCACGCTGGCTGTCAGAGGCATCGTTCTGTCCCAGATCGGTGCAACACTACCCTCGCCCTGCGATAGGACAAAGCATCCTACGTATGTTCGCCAAGGCACTGCGCTGGTCCATTTCGTTGTGCAATCTCGCCTTGCATGCCTCAGCACATGTGCTTCGCTCGTTTGATTCACTTCTTGCCGATGCGCCGTCTAGGCGCGGCATCCTGCGCGCATGCGTGCGTGCTGGCTGTCAGAGGGGGAAACGGTACCCATGCCGTTACCCTTCACTCGTTTTCCCTTTGTTGGACCTTTGGGAGGCCCTCGTCGCCACCGCTGGATTTGCGTCGAAATTATGGTCCGAACGCACCCCGGGAGAGTTCCGGTGAGTAGCGGTATGGTACCTTTTGATTTCCCCAGGCTGCAGACCTCTGCCCGCAGCCGCCCCCTGGTGTGTGCCATCTACTGGCCACCACGCCCTGGATTCCGGGCCCCTGGGTCCCCAGACTTCCTCGCGTTGTGAAAACACACGACGGGAGGTTTTTCATCATTTTCGGCTCACGGGGATCCTCATGGGGCCTCAGGACAGTCAACAAACGATTCAGGATGAAGAACCGGTCCTGGGGAAGGGATCCAGACCTCTGGGGGTCGACGTGACAACAATCATGGCGTCGGGGGTCTGGGTCGTGAGCTGACATCTAGCACCCATAATTACCTCTGCGGCGCTCAGGTTCCTCGGGGTCGAACTCCGTGGGGGGCTGTGGGCGTGTGTTGTCGGATGGGAGTCCCTGCCTGCAAGGGGGTCCTCTTCGGGGCCGGACAGATCTCACGACTGGAGGCCATATCCACACCCGCGGCATCGCGGGCCAGGCGCCTTGGCCGCGGCCCCGTGGATACGGAGCGGTGTTCCGCGGATGCCCCGCGCGGGGCGTTTCCGCGCGGCCACGCATGCACGGGATCACGCCCCGGAATCCGCATCGGGAGGACGTGGATGTGGATACGCTCGCCACTCGCGAAACTCGCACCCGTACCCATCGTGCCTTCCTCGCTCTGGCCTTTTCTCCTTCCTCCTCCCTGTAGGGTTGAGCGCGTGCTGCTCTGATGTCGTCACTGAGGGTCTGCCCCTTGGTCAGCCTCCGCCAGGCTCCCCCCGCCCCCGCCAGCCCTTGGCCACACGTTTCGTGGCCCCATAGGGAGCTCCACCGAACGCCCGAATGCCAGCGTTTGCATGCGGTCACCGCACCCACTTCGGCACACCCCTCACACGCTTCGTAGCTCCATCGGGAACCCCACCGAAGGCCCAGATGCCAGAGTTCGCATGTGGTCACAGCACCCATGTCGGCACACCACTCACACGGTTTGTGGCCACATAGCGAGCTCTACCGAAGGTCCAAGTGCCAGCTTTCGCATGCGGTCACCGCACCCAGTCCGGCACAACCCTCACACGTTTCGTGGCCCCATAGGGAGCCCGACCGAAGGCCCACGTGCCAGCGTTCGCACGCGCTTGCCGCACCCCTTTTGGCACAACCCTCACACGCTTCGTGGCCCCATAGGGAGCTCCATCGAATGCCCCAGTGCCACCGCCCTCATGCGTCACACTTTTCGCTCCCCCGTAGTGCGTTCCGCCTAAAAGCACCAGTGGCAGCGCCCACATGGCGGCCCCGCCCCACATCGGCACACGGCACACCCTTCGCATGCTTCAGGGCCACGTGAGGAGACCCCCCGAAGGCGATACCCGCAACGACGGTATTCACAGTTGCATATGGTTGGGTCCCTCGCTGGGATAAATGTTGTGCAAGGCGTTATTGAACCATCGTCATTTGTGATCAGCGGGTGCGCCTGCATATTTGTTATGTGACAGGGGTGAAGCGGGGGCCGATACCAGTTTGGCAGGGACGGCACATACGCAAATGGAAGTGAACGACGGGGCACACCCACATGTAATTTGCAGCGTCCCAGGGGAAACCGATAAGTCGGGGGGGAGAGGGTGGCACGTCGAGTTCAGTGTATCTTCGGAAGGAGAATGAGTGTGGCGTTCGCTACGTGGTGTCAGCTGCGTGATGGATGCAAGCTGTGTGGTGCATACTCTGTTGTGCAGATTATGTCGTGCAGGATATGGGGTGCAAACCACGCGGCCGCACAGCACACGAGGCTCCCACGGGCAGGCACCAGGCGAAACCTTGGCTGACTCACCCAGCGCACGAGGCGCCCACGGGGGGCACCAGGCGGAACCGCCGCCGACCCAGCGCACGAGGCGCCCACGAGGCGCCCACGGGCGTGCACGAGGCGAAAACTCGGCTGACCCACCCAGTGCACGAGGCGCCCATGGGCGGACACCAGGAACAAAGTCAGTTGACCAATCGAATGCATCAAGTAAGATATGCAAGACCACTTGATTGCAAACACTATTCGGGGAATGAGATCGACCCGTTTTACCGCTTCGAACATAGCACTTCTACACCGAGTTGCATCCCCGGTCCTCTTTCGAAGTACATTCGGCCCATCCCGTGGGAGCCTATCAAGCCTTTCTACCCAGTCAGACTTCCTTTTTGAATTGATGGTCTGCGCCACGTTTTTCTGACGCCTAGAAGGTGCAAGAGGCCATGGATGTGAACTTAGACCTTGAACTCCTGGACTCGCCCATGAAGCTCTTCGACTCTATGCCACCAGTGGGCATCATCGTTGCTGGCATTGCAGCTCCAATGCAGCTGCGCTCCATCAAGGCTGCCACCATGCCACTGGGTCACAGGGAAACGCTGCGACTTGCACTCGTTTGTTTACATGAACCTATTGTTGCAGCAGTGTGCGAACAGTATGGGGGTATTTTTCGGCACGCTTGCACAAGTGCGTTTCGAGTTGCGTCCACCCTGCATTATCATGTATTGTGCTGTGTGGGGGCGCTGTGCTGACTTCTTATTCGGCACATCTGGTACAACAGGAGTTCGCATACATCATCCCTTAGCGGAACGAAGTTTCATTTGCTTGTATTGCCCGCTTCCAAGATTCAGAAGAGAGGGGGCTCCCATATTGTTAGTTTGATCCCACTGCACATGTACGAATTGCGGATACCCGCGAATTGGCAGCATCGTCGGAGCCTATCGGGTGGCTCGGTGGAGCCGCCGTTCGAGGCGACTTGGCCTCGCACCCTTCATGACTGTCCGCACTTCCACCCCACATTTGAGTTATGCTGTCTACCACCATCTTCCCAAAAAGTCAACAATTGACAGCATCATCGGATCGGCGAGGCAAGTTCCGAGTCTTCCATCCTCACGAACGGTATCCTCTTGTCTGTGGGCGTTGGCGTCGGCTTCGTGGACTGGAACGTGCCGTGCCGCCAGCTTAGCTTCCGAGTGGCTTGTGCACTCCTCCTCCGCCCCCACCCTCCCTCCTTCGGGCGCGCGAGGGGAGGAACTAGGAGCGTGTTTCATAATTGTTTGGGGCATAGTGGGCATTATAGCCCCCGACCCCCCCGACCCGACCCCCCTCCTATAACGTAACGCCCCTCCCCCCCAGTGAGCCCCGGGCATTGCCGCCGTGCGCATCGGGCACACGGCGGGGGGGAGGCGTTACATTCTACCCCCCCTGGTCCCTCCCCCCTCCTACAATGCCTAGGATCGCCGAAAATAAAGAAACGCGCTCGACGAGGCGGGGGGATTAACCATGTAAAAGGGACCCTTCGGCCCGAGCGCTTTCCCAGGAACAAGAACGAGCGCGGAAGGGGTGGGGGCCATTATGCTTCTGGCACGTGCGCGCGGGGCACGTGTTTTCACGTGTTTTCACGGGGCCCCCGGGGGGGACCCAACCTGAGGGCGGCGAGCTTTCTGCGCGTGCAACTGCGTGCGCGGAGGTGGAGGGCCCACCACGCGCCTGGCGCGGGCGCGCGGGGCATGTGCTTTCGCGTGTTTCGGGCCAGGACGAGGCCGCAGGCGAGGTACCCAGCCTGCGGGTGCCGACGTCGCTTCGCGCAGGACTGCGTGCGAAGAGGGGCGGGGGCCCACATGCCCCTGGCGCGTGCGCGCGGGGCGCGTGCTTTCCCGTGTCCACGGGGCCCCTGGGGGGGCCCAACCTGGGGGTGGTGACTCCTTGACACGGGAAGCTTCGTGCGCGGAGGGGGGGGAGCCCAGCGGAGGGGGAGCCCAACATGCGCTTCGCGCGTGCGCGGGGGGGCACGTGTTTTCGCGTGTTTCGGGCCGCGACAGGGCCGCGGGCGAGGGGCCCAACTCGGGGGCGGACACGTCTTCGAACGTGAAAATACGTGCGCGTGCGCGGAGGGGCGGGGACCAACTTGCGCCTAACAGGTGACAAGCGTCGCCGTGCGGGAGGGGGATGACGATCAGGAGGAGGAAGGTGGAGGAAGGAAGATGATGGGAGGAGGGGGGAAAGAGAAAGGAGGAGGAGGAGGAGGAAGCAGGAAGGAGGAATAAGGAGGAAGATGATGATGACGATGAGGAGGAGGAGAAAAAGGAGGAGGAGGAGGGTGAGATGAGGAGAAGGAGGAGGAGGATGAGAAGGAGGAAGAGGAGGAGGAGGAGGAGCATGAGCATGAGCATGAGCATGAGCATGAGCACGAGCAGTAGCAGGAGCAGGAGCAGGAGGAGGAGGATAAGCAGGATGTGCAGGCGGCAACGTCTGCGGACAAGCAAATGGAAAGTGTCGCACGCGCGTCAGAAGAAAGTTTGATTACAGTTCCTTACCAGGTTCGTAGATCCTTCAAAGTATTGTTCTCCCTGGGCCGATTGTGACTGCCTCGAGGCTGAGAAGAGAATCCCTGGTGCCCGAGATTTAGCGAAACGCTTGGGTTGAAGCAGTCTCGGCGCCGGATGTCTGGGGTATGATGTCACTCAAGGATCGATCTTCGGGCCCTTGGTAGGAGGAGGAGGAGGAGAAGGAGGAGGAGAAGGCGGAGGTGGAGGAGGAGGGTGGGAGGAGGAGGAGAGGGATGGATGGAGGGAGGGAGGGAGGGAGGGAGGAATAATTAGAATGGAGGAGGAGGAGGAGGAAGAGGAGGAAGATGAGGAGGAGGAGGAGGAGGGGAGCAGGAGGAGGAGGAGGAGGAGGGAGGGGGGCGAGGACGGGAGGGGGAGGGGAATACGAAAGGGGAGGAGAGACTCTGCTTGGAAGGCTTCCTGTGGAATCTGAACGCAGTCGGTAGGAGTCCTGAGAAGTTGCCGTGCATCCCGAATGCGTCCCGGAAGGCGGTGGCGGCTAGGACCGAAGGTTCTGCCGCTGCCGCTGGGACTCCGCCCGAGGTCACGACAAGCTCGTCTGGGTCTGGCTGCTCGTGATCCTGATGATCAGCTCGTTCCTGGTGCTCTGCCACGCCTGGCTCAAAGCGGAGTGCGGCGCGGGTCTCGACGCCATCGAGAAGGAACAGGCAGCGTGGTGGTGGTGGTGGTGGTGGTGCTCGACGTCGTTTCCACATTTGTCGTCGTAGAGTTGCTTTTTGTGTTTGTTCTTGCCTCCAAAGACATCCCCTCGCCTCCCTCCCTTCCTCCCTCCCCCCCCTCTTAGATCACACCCCCAGCCCCACCTCCAGCGAGAAGGGAGATTGGCGATCATTTCTCTTGATTCCAAGCTCGAGGGGCCGTGCCTGTCGTGTGTGTTTCAGGATTGCGAGATCCAAAGGCCGTCTCCGGCCCTGGGGCCTTCACGAGGGACACGCGACAGAGCACCAGTTCCCTGGATTGTGCTGGGAGCTCCAGGGGGCACTTTCATCAGAAACATGCACAGCACTCAGGTCCGGGGAGTGCCTTGGGCAGGGGGGGGTCAGAACCTTCGCTGAAGATGTTGCGGGCTCGGCCAGCAGCGACGCTCGGCGATCTGTTGTTATTTATTTTTGTTGGTTCAATCTCACTCTCTCTCTCTCTCTCCTCTTCCTCCTGCTGCTCCTCGGAGGGAGGCGGGAGGAGGAGGGAGTGGGAGGAGGGAGGCGGACGAGGAGTTTTTGATGCGCCCAACACGTTAGGCGTTCTGAGCTACACCGGCTACGTTGATGCTACTGGGCATTATGAGTTGCGATTGCATTACGCTCTCCAAGGCCAAGGTTGGAGAGCATGAATTTGTGTGAAGCTGGTCGCCTGGCCCATTGCATATGTGAATAGACGGTCATCAGTAATTGTCTGAACGACCATCACATCTGCCTTGGTTCAGCCTATGCTCTGAGCTTGCTGAGGACGGGTGACGTACAATGTGCCATCGGATACAGACCAGGGTCAGCTAACATATTATTCTGAATGTAGATGGCCAGCACCCTAGAGGTCGATTCCGGTAACACTGGCATCTAAAGCGCATGCATCCCCGGCGATGTTCTAGATGTCAGTGCCGACAGAAGGGGCTGAATCTTCGAGCGGATCGACGAAGCGACTTGATGAGCGCGAGTCAGGAGGGGAAAAATCACACAGACACAATTAATCGTCGATTCCCAGGGAAACATGCGAAAATATGGGAAGTGGGGGGGAAGACAGAAACCCAGAAAATATAGGGAAATACGGGGAATCCTGTTAATTATTTGTATACATTTATTTGTGTGTCCCAGGGCCCCTTCATCGAGGGCCGTCGAGGAGATTGATTACAGAGTCGAGCTCCCACTGGAAGCATCCAAGAAGACACGCGTGGAGGCGGGCTTCTCCAGCGACTCTTGGTGCCTCCCATCTCGGGGCGGGCTCCGGTAGCGAGACTGCGACCTCGCAGAGCGCCTGTGAAGAAGTTCGGCTCCAGCACGACATGATGATTGGGAGGAGGAGAAGGAAAAGGAGACGTAAGCGTTGAAGGCACGCGCGGAAATATTGGGTCGGCGCCCGAGGCACTGCTAGGGGGGTCCAGCGCTGACTCTGAAATCCGCGCGGAACTCCAGAAACAATGTGAATGTTGTTCCTTGCTGTTTTGCAAGGAGAAGCAGCGTCATCTACAGTTGGTAGCATGGATTCCTGAATAATGACACACGAATGACTAGATACACAAATATGTGCATCGATCTCTGCCGGCGTGGACACAGGGTCAACGATCGAGGCCCGAGGATCGCTGTTCGAGGATCCAGTTCGGAGGATCGAGGCTCAGGGGTCGAGGACGGAGCTTCGAGGATCGAGGATCGATGCCCGAGCTTCCGTCCAAGCTTGGCGACCCTCGAATCTAGGATCCGAGGTGCTCGCATATGCTCAAGACCAAGATCTCGGATCCTCGATCCGAGGATGGAGGATCGAGCCTGCTTGGTGGCAGTGTGGGATCGAGGACGGCGACGAGGGCGATCTGCTATCGCCCATTCTCGGTCCTCGAGCCTCGGACGTCGAACCCGAGACTTCGTCCAAGGTCGAGGATGGAGGCCCCAGGACTGCAGGCTCGAGGCCCGCGGGCCGCACGGAGGCCCTCCGCCCTCGCCTGTGCCTCCCGGCGCCGCCTCCGGCGCGCACCATGATGGGCCCGTTTTCCACCACCACCACCATAAGTTGGAGAGGGAGGGGGTCCTCCTCCTCCTCATCCTCCTCCTCGTCATCCTCCTCCTCTTTGCCCTCCTCCTCGTCCTCCACCTCCTTCCCCCCTTCGACTTATGGTGGTGGTGGTGGAAAACAGGCCCATCACACCAGGCCTCCGGCCTGGGAGCGCGCCGCTGGAGAGAGGTCCGGGGGGTGGGGGCCAATTTCGGTGGGTTCTGTGTTCCCGGGCTCCCGGGTTCCCGGTCGATCTCTTCATCGATTTCTTGATTGATCCCACTTCGAACCACCCGCTGATTGTTGGGGTAATTGTTCTCGGGTGCAGTCTGTTGTATGGGGAGTGTCGTGGGAGGCCTGCAGGAGTGTTGGGGGCGGACAAAAGAGGGGGGTGATGACTAGGGGGGGGTGGATATCATGGCGGGGGTCATGATATTTCCCCAGATTTCATGGCGCCTCTTCTTACTTCATGACGTCCCTGGCCCCCCCGCTGGGCCGCGCACATGCCGCCGGTCATGATTTGCACCCCCCCCTCTTGGACACCCCCCTCTTGGCCGCTCCCGAAAGAGGAGGGTGCGGACTGCTGGGAGCCCCTCCCTGCATAAGAAGAATAAGAGATAGTCAAACGGTACCCCAGAAGGGAGCAAGCAGAAACTCAAAAAAAACCTCCCCAGACTATGTTTGGACTGTTTTTGCTTATTCCTCCTGTAGAGGGAAAGGCCCGACTTGAGACATGCAGGTTGAAGCACGAACATCGTTCCCACCAGGCGGTAAGGTATCAGGTGGTGGCCTGGAGTCCCCCAGAAATGCCACCGCCCAGATTTGGGGACGTGGGGTCACCGCCGGGGTGTGTGACTCCTGGAAACACCAGCGTTCGAGACATCCTCGAAAAAGCGCGCGAGTCCCCAAACCGGGTGGTGACACCAAACCGCCCGAGACTCACCGCGGGGTGTTGTCACCACCACGTTTGGGGACAACCAAGACTAGGGGGAAGGGATATCATGGCGGGGGCTATGATACTCCCCAGATTTCATGGTGCCTCTTCTCATTTCACTAAAGCCCCGGCGCCCCCCCACCCTGGGCCGCGCACATGCCGCGGGCTATGATTTGCGCCCCCCTCTTGGACACCCCCCTCTCGGACGCCCCCGAAGAGGTCCGGGGGGGGGGGGGGATGCGGGAGAGCAGGAGGAGGCGGATCATGTGGGGGGTGGAGCAGGCAAAAGGGGAGGATGAGGCCCAGCATGAATTTGTTGGATTGCCGCTTCGCTAGCGGGCGGGCTGCTCGACATCGGAATCAGCAGTGCGCTTCCAGTGCTAGTGGTTACCAGTGTCGTGACGTCGCGCGTTCCGCAAGGCCGAGTCGAAGACAGTGAAAACCGGCAACGACGTGTGGGACACGTTCGTGTCGTTGAAGAGCGGGAGCGGTTCTGTCTTGAAGGCGCTGTACACGTACGACAAGATCGCGAATTCTCGGACCTGTTTTTGGGGCAGTCTCAGAGCACCGAGTTGGTATTTCAACGGTCGTTGGGGCTAGGCAGGGGAGGGCGATCCATCCACATCCGTAATACAGCTTGTGTTTCATGTTGAGCGCCAGGAGGGCAGCACCCCACACTAGCCAAGCATGAGTCGTCTGTCTGTTGCATGACTGTGTTTACGAGCGTATGCTGTAGCTTCGAAGGGCTAGTTCGATCGGGAGACTCCTCATGGGGGGGGATCCCATGGGGGGATAGGATCCCAGGGGGGGGATCCCAGAGGATCCCCTGGGGATCCCATGGAGAGTCTCCCGATGTCGAATACGAAAAAAATTGCACGACCGTCGGCTTTCGGGGCTCCGCGCAAAACCCGAGCTGGGGTTCTCGGCTGGCGCAGACGGCTGGCGGGTGCCCATGGTGCCCTGTGATAACTCTCGGGGGAAAACAAACCTACCTCGCTTTTGACCACCCTCGCTTCCCAGAGATACCAAACGATGCCAAATCCCACCAGCCCTTTAGGGCGTAGGTGGTCTAGAGCGTTTCCTCTGCCAACCCCCCTTCTTTCCCTTCGGGGAGGGGTTTACCCCTCCCCTTACCCCTCCCCACTGACCTGGACGAGGCGTCTCGCGAGGTGTCAGGGACGCCCAAGATGGCTCAAGACGGCTCCAAGAGCGAAAAAGCGAGAAAGCACAAAACATTGATTTTCCTTAGGTTTTGGAAGGATTTTGGCCTCTTGGGGGGGCCCAAGAGGCGCTTCGAGGCACTCTAGAGGGGCAACCCTAATTGGAGCTCCCCCCTTCTTTGATAGATCTCCTCCAAGATGGCCCCAAGAGCGCCCCGAAGGCTCCCAAGAGCGCCCCAAGAGCGCCCCAAGAGGGCCCCAAGAGACCCCAAGAGGCCCCCAAGAAGCCTCTAAGAGGCTGCCAAGAGACCCCCAAGAGGCCCCAAGAGAGTTCAAGATGGCCCAAGACGGCTCCAAGAGCGAAAAGGCGAGAAAGCAAAAAACATTGATTTTCCTTAGGTTTTGGAAGGATTTTGGCCTCTTGGGGGGCCCAAGAGGCGACTCGAGGCACTCTAGAGGGGCAACGCTAATTGGGGACCCCCTCTTCTTTGATCGATCTCCTCCAAGATGGCCCCAAGAGCGCCCCGAAGGCTCCCAAGAGCGCCCCAAGAGCGCCCCAAGAGCGCCCCAAGAGGCCCCAAGAGGCGCCCAAGAGGCCTCCAAAAGGCTCCCAAGAGACCTCCAAGAGGCCCAAGAGGCTCCCAAGACGGCCCAAGACGGCTCCAAGAGCGAAAAGGCGAGAAAACACAAAACATTGATTTTACCTAGGTTTTGGAAAGATTTTGGCCTCAAGAAGGGCCCAAGAAGCGATTCGAGGCACTCTAGAGGGGCAGCGCTAATTGAGGACCCCCCCTTCTTTGATAGATCTCCTCCAAGATGGCCCCAAGAGCGCCTCGAAAGCTCCCAAGAGCGCCCCAAGAGCGCCCCAAGAGAGCCCCAAGAGGCCCCAAGAGGCCCCCAAGAGGCCTCCAAGAGGCCCCCAAGAGACCCCCAAGAGGCCACAAGAGGCTCCCCGAGATACGCAAGAGGCCCCCGGGACCGCCAAGAGGCTCCAAAGACGGCCCAAGAGGCCCCCAAGCTCGCCATTGTCCTCCTCCTCCTCCTCTTTTTCTTCCTCCTCCCTCCTCCCCCTCCCCCTCCTCCTCCTCCTCCTCCTCCTCCTCCTCCTTTTCCTTTTCCTCCTTCTCGTCCTCCTCGTCCTCGCAGTCCTCCATCTCCTCCTCCTTATCTTCCTCCTCCTCCTCCTCCTCCTGCTCCTCCTCCTGCTCCTCCTCTTCCTCCTCCTACTCCGACGACGACGGCTCCTCCTACATCCTCCCCCTCTTGGGGTATATGGCGGCTCACCCCGCCCTCTGTTCTTCTGCATGCTCCCCCGCTTCCCTCATAACCTCCACTCCCCTGGGACTCATTTCTGGACGGGCTGGTGGGGATACGCGAAGCGTCTAGAATTGCGGCCTGTACTGGTCAGGCCGCTTGACGAGGAGGCGCGTGGTATGGCTTGGTTTTGCCTGGAAGCGAAAGCGGGGGAGGTAATTCACGCTCTAAAACTCAGCGCTTGCGCCGGGCATTTGTTAATGGATCGGGGGAGCGTAAAGACCCGGGTTTGCCAGGACTCGGGTTCGCCATCGTTTTTTGACGGCCGCGCCTCGGATTTTGACGAGGGGGAGTTTCGTGGGATGTCTGCAGCGGGAGGCCTCGTCAAAATGCAGGCTCGGCCTCGTCATTTTTTGACGACCTCGTCGGGGATTTCCGAGTCCCCTGTACCCAGGTCTTACGTCCCCCTGAATTGAGAACGTCACGATGATTGCGAGAGGGCTGTTGGGGAAGAGGCTGAGCGTACAGAGGCACCCGTGTCGCTGCTGCAGATTGGGGCGAGCATCCCATTTTGTCTGTGGCTGGGTGACAGCCACGACCACGACTTGGTTTCTGTAAGCGTCGGTTTATTTTCCGGGGGGGCATGCCCCTCCCTGCGCGGCCCTGTATGCGGATACTATCGGCATAAACGAAGCAACTGTTGTTGTTCAAAGTGTAATCCCACATGAGTGCAGACATGTTGAAGATCCCGGGCCGGTCTCGCAAGGCCTGACGTACGCAATTTGTAAACTTGTCGGGATGGGCAACGTGAGCTGGTAAGTTTCTACGTGATATCCTTTACCTCTTCATTTCTTGACGCTTTTCGTATCCTCATCAGCCAATCCAGGCTCCAAGATTGCTGCGCAGGGCAAGTGGGTGAGCATGCGCGAGATACAAAGGCGGGTGCGAGCCAACATGGGCGTGCGTGAGCATGGACCAAATATATCGCCAACACGGGGCGGCTTCCTGGGGAGCCATGGACGGCTTCGTTGGGGCCGTAGGAGCCGCCCTGGACGTCTCGTGGCACTCCTGGGCGCCCCGCACAGACCTCGGCGCAGCGCGGCCGCTCAACCCAATCTTTGCTTCACGCTCACACGTGTGTCCCTTTTTCCGCTCTAGACGAGGATGTAGATTGGCCCACATCCCATGCTTGTCCGCCCCTCAACTCTGCAGCTTCACCCATTCTGGGCCAGTGCCAACGCGGCGCCACGTGAAGAGTTCCAGAAAGGGCTTCGCCTTCGGGCAACCGAGAGGTTGACATCTCTTCCTCGATGGAAGGCGGCGGGAGTAAAGCCAAAGCGACTCCGCCGGCGGAACCTGTCGCAAGGCCGGCGGAAGGCGGTGGAAGTAAAAGATGCGCCCCCAAGAAGTGACAAGTTGTTTGGTTCATGGCCGCCGAAATCCGCCACATCGTCGCCAACGGCTTAGAATTCTAGCATCCCAAACACCTTTTCCTTCTGAGGATTGCCCCAGACAAGGCCCCCCTGGTTTTCGCCCGCGGCCTAGGATGGCCCGCCCTTCGCGTGCATTCTTTTTTGGAGGAGTGCGAAACGCAGAGGATAATGGCGGCTTGCCAACCCGAAATGTCTCTTACTTTTTATAAGAAAGCGTGGCGCCCCACTGTGCAGTGGAGGGGAGGGGGAGGGGAAAGGAGGAGGACCCTAGGAGGACCAGAATAGACCCTAGATGCGCTAGCGATGCTGCAACACACCGTGCCAGCTTCCTGCCCAGGAAGTACCCACATGCTTTCTTTTTCACAGCAAGGAGCGCCCCTTGAAAGATTAGCGCCTTAAGGGCCTGCCATTCAGACGAAAGCCCCGTTTCAAAGAAGAACTGTTTTCCATCCTCCAATCGAGTCATGAGGAAGGCGACTAGGTATGATCATGAAGTTCAGCGAGCTGCATGGGGAAGGCTCAGATTTGAAAACGAGCCGCCCCCATCCGTTGTTGCACAAACGCTTCACAGTGCGGCAGTTCGCATGGCGGAAGTCTCATGCGAGAGCTCCATTGTGAAAGTGAGACCCCCTCAATGCGTGCAGTTGCTGCACGTTTTCAATTGTTTCGAATTTGAAGTTGGGCACTTCTGAAGTGAGAGCCGAATTCTGAACATGCGCGCGGCGCTAAGGTGAAAACCCCATTCCGAAACAGCATTTGCCTTTCACCCTTGAATCGATTGCACATTTTAACACGGATGTGCGCGGGGCTGCGGCGAGAGCCTTATTTGAGAAGAGCCCGCTTCCATCTTTGAAGCTGTTGAACGAGTTGGCAATGAACGCGCTTGGCGCTCGAGGTCTCAATTTTGAGAAGAAGACGTTCTTCATCTTCGCAGTTGTTCCATTTCGAAAAATGAGAGGCCGTCCTCTACCCCTGCAGATGTTGTACGTCTTTTTTTTAAAATCACGCATGTGCGCGGAGCTGTGGCGAGAGCCGTACTTTGAGACTGTTGAACGAGTCAGCACGAATGCGCTTGGCGCTAAGGTGGGAGATCCATGGCTTCAAGGTCCGCCCTCCATCCTTGAAGATGTCGCACACGTTCGGCAGGAATGTGCGCGGCGCGGAGGCGAGAGCCCCGTTTTGGAATGGGCACGCCCTCCATGCTCGTAGCTATGGGAACTCTCTGACAGGAATGCGCGCGGCCGCTCAGGCGAGAGCACCACTTTGAGAAGGACCCCCCCTCCATCCTTGTAGTGGTAGTCGAGTCTTAGCTCCAGGATCATAGAGGGCGACGGGATCTCGGGCGAAGTGGCGCGGCAGGGAGAAGTTATTTTTCGGGACGTGGGGTGGAAGGGCGGGAGAGGAGGAGGAGGAGGAGGAGGAGGAGGAGGACGAGGAGGAGGAGGAGGAGGAAGTGGAGGAGGAGGAGGAGCAGGAGGAGGGGAGGAGGAGGGGGAGGAGGGAGGAGGAAGAGGGGAGGAGGGGGAGAGGGGAGGAGGGGGAGGAGGAGGAGGTGAGGAGGAGGAGAGGGAGGAGGATGAGGTGGGGAGAGCAGGGAGAGGGGAGGAGGATGAGGTGGGGGAGCATGATCAGGCAGACCTGGTGACCCCTGACCTCTCGCAGGGCGCGCCCTACTCTTCGTGCTGTTGTTCGCTCCT